TGATGATGATGATGATGATGATGATGATGATGATGATGATGATGATGAACAACATATGATGTCAAAGTGACTACCATCAGCATCTATTGACTGTTTTTTGATGTCCCTTACTTTCAATCGATTTCTTGAAGCTCAAGTCAGGAACTCCAAAATGCTGGCGACCCACTTGCGGTGCCTTTGACATGAAGGGAGTCCCCTTCACCCACGAAGAACCCGCCCTAAACGCCCGCCTGGACCGCCTGGAACCAGCCGAGACCTCTGAGACCCGTTACGGGTGGGGCGACCTGGTGGACCCCCCCTCTCCAACGAGACCTGACGGCGACGGAGGCGACCCGTTTTGGACCGGACGGTCCGGTCGACGCCCAAAGGACCCGCTGAAGAAGAAGTCGGACTGAGCACGCCTGGGTAGACATGGGGACCAGTGTCGGAGCACGTGTCTCTGGTGGGTTGTGGGGGCAGGAAGAGGAACCTTGTCCTAGTACTATAGTTCTTTTTTGAATGAGTTTCACATGAAGACACACATCTTGTCCTGTGAAGGTATGAAACACTCCTACAAGTTGACCAAAAGGAGCTCGAGACAACATACGCGACCAGCCGGCGAGCAGAAAGCAGTTTGTAGTCCGGTTGAGGAGAGCCGGTCACCTCAATGTAAAATAGAACCTGTTTGGATTAACAATACCCTTACTTGGCTAATCTGACAACCACAAACCTGAGAGGATTCATTCATATTCATTCTTCATATTCGAATTCTGTTCAATTGGGGCAAACATAGGCAACCCCTCGCTCTGCCTCGCACCAAACTAACAATGGAGGATCCTCTGTCTGTCAAATTGTGGACCCCAAGAAGCTGTTTCGGTCCCAAATGTGGGCGCAATATGTTCCTATAGCCTATAGTTGATGGAGGTTCCCATATATGTAAGGTTTTCCAAACACGACAAATTGTCTGACACAGAAGATATTGCAACTCCCCTAAGCTCAAAGAGGTTTTACATGCTCTGACACTCCACGTCTGGCTGTTGGTGTTGTATTCATCCAGAGTCATGATGCCCAAAGAGGCCCTCCCGCACACCTTGCTCTCAAGCCGAACCCGCCCGATCGATCGCGCGTCATCGGCATCTGCCACGAGACATGGCCACCTTGTCAGCCGTCTCCTCCCGGTGGATTCATCGGAGCGGCGCGACGCCAGAACGACCGGCGGGAGAGCCGGGAGGAAGCGACCAAAGCAGACCGTAGGACTGGCGACCGGCTGAAAGCTGCATGTCACTTCGACCGGGTGACCACACCGAATCACCCAGAATTGACTCCCCTACACCTCCAAGTACCTTCTGAGAAAGTATTTTATGGTATTTTGGGTGGGTGCCAGGAGGGTCCTGTCAGACCTTCTGAAGAGGCACTTGGACTTTCACTGATCCATGTGCCTGTGTGAAAGCTTTGGAACCCTTGCGAAGGTGTGCTCCTTCTGAGCATAGCCGCCGATGAAAGGGTTCAAGTTGCCTGGCGTTGCTCGTCGGTGCGCGGGCTGTTCTCGGGACGTTTGGCCGGCTCTGAGGCGTCTTGAACTTGGAAGGCTCTCTCGGAAGGTGAGCAACCAGTGGGTAGATTATGAAAGGACTGGTCTATTTCCTTTTACCAAATAGACTGGTTAACATAGACTGGTCTATGTCCTTCTTCAGGAGTACTTTAACACCTCCCAAATATGTACCTGCCCCAGCCAGTACCACCCCCCCTTGGAGGTGCCATGGGGGCCATCCATCCGATTTTTATTTTGTTCGTTCAATGCCAGTGGACCAAACACACGCCAACAGCAATGAAAGAAGTCGATCCGCAGTGGTGGCCCCATTGTGAACTACCACATATATATATATATATGCTTCTTCTCTTGCCCCCAAACAAATCCAGCAGTCTGACGGCTTCTCCCCTTCCAATCTTGGATGAGCACCTTGTTCACCGTCCAGTTCTCCGACCCCGATTCTCCGTCCACCCCTCCGTCCGACCTGTGGTGAATTGCTCCACCAAGGACTGACCAGTGGCTCCGTTCTGTGCCACAATGGCGGCCATCGCCACCATGGCCTGGCGGCCGCTGCACACAACGGGCGGCTGTGGCTATGTCTGTGGTGCATGGATCTTGCCGCATGCGCCACAATTTCTTAAAGGACAGTGACCTTCACAGCAGAAAACACGTATACAAGTCAAACTCCTATGCCTATGCTCAGGGGGACATTCACTTATTGTATAGTGACATAGTTCAGTACCAATTCGCCAAGGGCACCAAGCGCCCGTTGTTGATCTCGGCCAACAGCTTCTTCTGTTTCTCCTGCCGACACCCAAGACTGCCGGGTCTAGGGAGGGCCCTGCAACCAAAGCCCAGTCGACGAGGGGATTTGCAGGGGCTGTTTTGCATGGGGATGTGCGCCTCCCGAGAGAACTGGGAAAAACATATCCTCAGAAGGAGATTCACCCATATAGTGGAAATGAATATCACACCAAGCAATACCAAAGTTTGATGTGTCAAGCGGATTCAAATGAGTTCTCCCTCAGGTGGCATGCGGCGGGGAAATTCTGGATGTCCTTCAAAAGCAGCTTGTTTTGGTGGTTGCAGCTGTTTCCAGCATGTTCCCATGTTTTCCAACATTTGCAGGTCTGATCTTGCTGAATCTACTTGTACATACTATGACCACTACTATGACCTAACGCCTAACACCTCAAGGAACATGGTATCCATCCACCATCATCCACGCGTACCAGCACGTGAATTCTCCCCTGTTCCTTCCCCTCATCCAAAAAAGGTATCCGCAGCCACTGCTTGACCCACACCGTGAGCGGTATCCTCCGGCTCGAGCTTGTCGATCTGACCCCAAAAGGGAGGATAGCCGTAGTTCGTGGGGAAGGCCAAATTCCTCACCGGCTCGGCGGCCCCGCCGAGCGGCAAGGCGCCGCAAAGAAGGCGGCGTAGCGACTCGAAGGATGAATGAAAGCTCCCATTGAGATTGAAGAATCTTTTCCTTTGCGGGGGCTTTTCTTCATCAAGATCGAGTCTACATAAAAAACAAGTAGAATGAATATAACCCCCCCAAACAACAACAGCAAGTCTTGTTGAACAACATGTAAACAACAAGTAGACGGCACCTGAGACCTTTGAAAGGCGGAACAAGTGAAAACACCGATCACGATATGATATGATAATCCGCTGCTGCTGGACCATCCCCAAAGAATAGCGGTTTCCCTCAAGTCTTGGCCTTTCCAATGAAACACCTGGGGAAGACTTCTGTTGCCATCTCATCACTCCACATCCTACCATCCAACTAGCCATCCTAACCAATCCCACCACTGACCCAGTGTCTGCAACTCACCCACCCTTACTAAACCCACAAGTTTTTCACCTCGCCAGGTCATTGCACCTTGCCGTCACCGTCCACATCAGTTCTTCCACTTCCATGTTTTTAGTCCGACTGCGTCCCTGCTCCCAAGGCGCTTGGCTTCAATGGCACCCGCCAAGGCGAAGACCTGGAGCCACCCAGCCACCGGGACCTTGTAGATCGCCTCGCGTCGTCCGCCGATGACGCCGGGTTAACCCTGCGGCTTAAGCGGCGGAAGCCGCGCACGCGTCGCGGGTCCGTCACATGGTTCGGTCACGGGAAAGGCCCGGTGTAAAAGGCGGGACGCATGGAAGTTGTGGGTGGCTGTTGGATGTTTCTTTTTTTGTGCTGCGTGTCTCAATGATGCCGAAGCCAGCAGTGTGGTGTTTTCTCTTGGTCGCACTAGGGTAATTGAGGGGGGCTGAGGTGATTCTTTGGGCAAGTATATTTTTCCTGTTTGGGAGGGGTCGAGGACATAAAATGGACATATGTCTCATGCAGCTTGTGGCCGGCTTCTGACTGAGTGGCCCAAGGAAGGAGCCTGTATTGGGTGAGTAGTAGCAGTAGTAGTAGTAGCAGTCGTCCTGTGAAGTTGCGCTTCTACAACTTGGATATCGGACTGATTTTTTCGTGCGTGCTTCACGTTGGCACGCCTGCTTACACTGGCTTACACTTGCATAGTTTTGCGGAGCACCGTGTGAAACAATTGAAATATTTCACAAATCCAAGGCGACTCGGCATGTTTAGATTTGTCTAAAGTCATGAAAATACACGCAAACTCAGAAATCGTCCAAACTTTATAGATCTAGAAAGCTTCCTCCAGGAGGCTGTGCGTGATGTCGACGCACTTTGTGACGTGGTCTTCCAGACTCCAAGATCAATTAGTCGATAAAGATGACAATGTTGGCATGAGAGCTTGCCGCTTGCCTCCGGAAGCTGGTCGTCGCTGTGGCGCTCACGGCGAGACACCACGCCGCTGTGCGCTTTTGCGCCGTCAAGGCGTGGCCCCTTTTAGGTCCTCCCTTCGAAGAGCCTGCCTGAGAGCAGCTTTCTCTTGTGGAAAAGAAGTCCTCTGCCAAGAGCTCGGTACCTTGCTCTGGTGAACTCTCCCGCTGACCAATTTCTCTGGCTCCCCTGGACTGGACAACGAACACAGAAATGATTCCAATATCATTCGAACAAGCCAAGGTGGAGCATCCTTCGAACAAAGCAAGACTCTCCCAGCGTGTAAGAGCCAATGCCATGTGCTAACTTAGCCGCTCACGCCCACATGTAACGCGGGAACAGCCGTCGCCCGAAGCCGCACGCCACGCATGGCCCCAGCAACCGCCCCACGAATCCACTGTTGAGCTGTGAAGCTCTCGCTACGAGAGCCCAGCCACCAAATCCAAGGTCGGTGTTCGAGCAGCGGTGCAGTGAGTTCAATGCAATCCACAGTGTAGCCCCCTAGTTCTGCTTTGAAGCGGCTCTCATAGTGATTCTTCGGCGGGCTTTTGAGCACCCGAAAACCATCGGCGAAACAATGCTTGACACTCAAGAGTGGGACACTCTATTGTCGGATCAGTCTATGTCCGCTGTTCCCAATCTATTCGGGCACGAGACTCCGCGCCCCTCTTGTGGAGCAGTCTCGTGAGACACATGTGGAGGACACTCTTGTGGGACACTCCCGCCGGACACTCGTTGGCGCCTGCACAACGCTCAGCTAGCGGCATGCTGCGTTTAGGAACGCACGTTGCCCGATTGAACGGAGCCACGGAAACGCACTTGCCACCGGTAGCGGTGTAGTTACATACTTTTTTTGATGTCTATGCCCTTGAATTGCCATGTCTATATATATATATATATTATATTATATTATATAATGACGCATCCAAAAGAAATTCTAGGTTTGGATGGGTCCCCAGTCTCTTGGCAGTTGTTTTTGTTGCACAAAAGAATCTATACTTCTCTAGAATCTGAGGCACCACCCGAGACATTGGCTACCAAGCACACTTACCCCCAAAGACATGTGGAATTCCAGTCGAATCGTTTCACATGACCCGAAGGCACCGCCCCACGTGCAGCGCCGTCGCGCGCAGTGCGCGCGTGGGACTCTGCGCCTCGATGGTGCAGGGGATGTCGCTGAACTTCAGACCCCTGAAGAACCAGAAGTCGTGGAGGTGTCCCGGAGTCAGGGAGGGCAGGTGGAGACACAAATACGGCAAAAGCACGAAGGAATGGATGGAACTGACCGGATTTGCTATCTCAAATACCATGAATTGCAGAATCTGCAAGATGATATTGCTTGGGCATATGCAGAATGATGATCCTTCATCCCCCTGCTTTCAGCTCTTGTCTCTCGCTCCCTTAACTTAGGGTCCGTCAAAGGTGTCAATGACCAACTACAATCCGTCTGGAACGTGATCATCCATCTTGCTCATCCTGCAAGTATATAGCAGGACTTGCGGACTGTCCCTACCACGGCCCGATTTGGGCGGCAAACATCTTGTATCATCTTGTAAGTAAGTCTATTATATATAGGTACCCTACAGGTCAATGACCTTATTTTACTGGAGGCGGCCATACAAAAGCACAACCTCCAGGAGATCAAAGACCGGGTTTGACTGGGTCTGACCACCAACCAAGGCCAAGGCCAAGGCCAAGGCCAAGGCCAAGGCCAAGGCCTTGCCTGACTCCAGCAGCGCAGCAGCACGCACCCTCTATAACAACCAAAAAGCGATCTCACTCTTTGTCACCCAACAGCACCCCAGGAGTCTGAGGGTGCTCCTTGGGTGAGAGATGCGGCCATTTGGGGTTGCTCCCTCAGCGCCATACACTCAGAGCCTCCCAAAAGCATGTTCTCATTCAGAGAGGCATTTCTGGACCACACCTGCAGTTGACCCTGTCTTCATCATTTTTGACCTCTCTGTTGACCCTGGAAAAAGATGGAAAAAGCAGTGTTTTCTTTTCAGCTTGCATGTGTTCTTTTTCCTTTTTTCACATTTTCAGTTAGTTCCATCTTCTTCTAACATTCCGTTCAACCTCGACCGGCCTCCTCCGCCACGCCCGTTCAAGGCCCCCCAAAGCCGCCCGTTCAGCGCGCTCCTCGTGTCTCCTCGCCTCTCCTCGCGTGCTCGCCGCGCGTCGCGTCTGCCGGGCGACAGGGAGGGAGACAGATCGCCTCCGAAGCGGCCAAAGAGGTCGGGCACGATCATGCCTCGTCCGGCTGGTGGCGCACTGTCGCCGGAGTGTGTGGGCTGGCGCAGGCGGTGGACCGGGGTTTGGCTTGGTTCAAAGGTGGAGGATGGAGGCTCCTGGGGGCCCGGGGGTGTAGAAGTGGTGAGCTGTCGACAAGAGTATCTTGACGATATTCTTGACTTATACAATTTGATACAATTTGTGATTACTAAGTTCACTCAGACTTCTATGGCTGTGAACAACAAACCCAACTCAGACGCCTGAACTTGCTTGGTTCCTTAGGATCACCAATCGATCCAATGGGGGCTTTTGCACTCATCAGATCGCATCTGCCTCTCTCTGGGGTCCGAACATGCCCTAACATAGCAAGGGTTTCAATCTGACGGAACTGATTCAAGGGTTCCCCATTGCCCAAGCAAGGATGGTTCGCCAACAACCGCAAAACAGGCTCCTTCAAGCTACGAGTAGCAAGGGGTTGGGCGCCTTGTTGTTTTGGGCGAAGATGGAGTGCCCCCGAATGGCTCCGAATCGCTTGCACCAGCGACGCCGGACACCGAAACAAGGGTCCTCCGCCTTTTCAGCTCATGACCACTCACATGGACCGTGAAGTGGAGCACCTAAGAAGTGGAGCATGTGCAAGCATTTTTTCTCCCAACCGCCAACCGGGTTCCACATGTTTAAGGCTCGGCACACCGATTGGAGACACACCGAACGATTTCAGCACCGACCGATTTCAGCATCGACCAACGACCAAGCGGCCGATTGTGGCGACCATGCAAATGCGCCCGTGCTTGAGCTCCAGCTCCCGGTTGCGGCGGAACTTCTCCTCATCCTCGGCGGTTGCATGAGGATGTGCGGTGGGCTCCAGGTTCGTGACCAGGAGATGAGGGCTGGGTGGCAAGGTGGTGGATGGCAGTTGCTGGTATAAGTACGTGCAAGAGAGCAGCCACTGGTTTGGTTCATTCATGTTCATTCCAGGGCATGTCCATTCGTGTTCATTTTACACCTGCACAGTACCGAAACGGGGCTTAAATCATCATGCCCATATGCAGGAACGACACGAAACACGTGTTGACCATCTCTCATTCCAATGATCAAATGGGTGGCCCAGTCTACTCCAAGGCTTCAGTCTACTCCAGTCTGTCTACTCCAACCATGGGCATTGAGAATCCGTTCGGCCAAAGCCCGGACTACCTGGGTTGACCAGAGAACATGAATGGGGACTACACTCCCTGGAACTAACATGGTTACGTGGATGGCCGGGCGTAAGGAAGACCATGAAATCCACTAGAAAACAGCTGGTGCCGTCCACTTCCATGTCAGTTTCCAGGGAGAGTAACTACTAAGGAGGTCAACCTACTAGAGCTCAACCTGACCCACGGCCCTTATGGAGTTCAAGGACTTGAAGATTTGGGGGGAACTTCCCCCCAAAACACATGTGGGGAATTACTACAGAGTGAGGGTGAGAGTAGTGATTCCCCGCAAAAATGCTGCATCTGTAGTAATTCCCCATAGTTCTTTGAGTAGTGATTGTTTTTTCAATCTCTCAAAGAACATGAAATTCTCAACGTGTTGCTGCGACGCCAGTGACAGAGTCCACGAACCGGGCTCACAAGGATGCGCGCGCCTGGAAGGCCATCATGCCAAAAGGATCCCAGTAGCCCAAGGGAGGGCAAGCACCCAACTCCTGCCAGCAGTCAGGGTGCTGTGATCTTTGGAGGGTGTTGTGACTGCTCCTGTGCCAGGTCGCACCTCACTTGCACACCATACATGCACCCCTCCAGGTCTCCAGCTCCCCTGACAATCACTTCATATTCTCACCATCCAGTCACCGTCTTCTCACGGGTCTGGAACCCAATGCTTGAACGACATACTGGCATCTTCGGATCTCGGACTCGCCATGCGGTCGGTCGATGGAAGACATGCGGCAATAAGGAAACAAATTCCACCCAAAACCCTCATATATACCATCAGTTCCTCTATTCCAGGGTGGCACAATCTTCCGTGCCTTTCTTCCATCCACCATCGCCTCTGCGAGAAATTGAACCTCTCTCCACAGCTCTCATTCTAGCTCTTTTCCCTGAGCCGTCCGTCCAAAGAAGAAAAAAGGAGCCTGAGGAGCCCACCTTGCTGGCATCGAACTGGGCAAAGAAGCCCTGGCCATCATTGAAGGGAGAAATGTGTCCCGAGGTGAGCTGCTCCACCGGCGACTGCCCAGTCAAGCCGTTCCTGGGTGCATCACTGCTCCGCGAGTCCCATCGACGGGACCGGCGGAAAACAGGGGGGTTTCGCTTCAACAGGGTTTCATCGACGTTTCAATAGCCAAGGATGTAGGGTGGATGTAGGAGACTTTGAACGTGGATGTAGGGTGCACGTCTCTCTTATTTTTTGGTTCTTGATTGCTGGGCCAAGGACGTCAATGGCGATAAAGGTTTGCGGGGTGATCCACAAGTGTCGGGTCTAGATAGAGCAGGCAGAAAGAGAATCAACTCACCCCACTGGTCCAATCTCTCAGGTTCATACGTCGCAGTATTCCCATCCCCCCAAAAAAAACAACAACAAGAGTCTACCAGCTGCTTCCGTTCGGGGTCACCTGGCTGGATATCTCCGCACTACGTAAACAGGTCTCCAGACAGGGCACCCCTTGGAAGCGCTAGGTAGAGGTTTAAAAGTCGTCCCCAAGCATTCTGAAAATCTACGAATAGACCCAACCCTCATAGGTGGGCCACAAAAAGGCGGGTGTGATTGGGAGGAGAGAGCCAGTATGGAGTCCTGGTAGCCCTTCCAGGTAGTGGCTAGTACTATTCAAGAAATGTGAGTGGCTAACATATGATCCAAAACTTGATTCAAACAAAGAAGTTCAGTTTCTCCAGTATCCTCCACACATCATTGAAAGAAAGTATGAGAGTCCCCCAAAATCGAGAACCGAACCCGCGGCAGCCCCCTTCATCATATCCCACCGTCCTGTGTTGAACGTCGCCAATTCATCCCTATTCATCATCTGAACCAACCACTTCCATTTCCACTGAGCCCAAGGCTATGTTTCTTGAGCTCAAAGTGTACCAAACAAAGGATTCCCTTCACCCCTCACCACCCCAAACCAGCTGGGCGTCTGAATCAACATGGCTGTCATGGCCACCTAAGCCGAGGCTGTCATGGCGTTCACCGCGCAGATGTTCACCGCACAGATGCCACCCGCCGTGAACACTTCAGCCTATTGAACTCTACCCCGCACGTTTGACTCAAATGGCTCAATTCCCAAATGGTGGTTCTTTGGACCTCCCGGTTCGAGCCTTCTCTTCCAGGAACATGGACTAAACGGCGTACTGGTTGCCAGTCCCACTGTCTCACAAATTAAATGTCCATATACCAGGGGTCACAAAGGGGTGGTGTTTGGTCTCTAAGGGAGTGGATACTGGGCACCCCTAACCTCCAATAAGCACCCCTTTGTGACTGCTGATATAGAGCTTTTCCCCCAAAAGGGGTCTTTGGGATTGGTTCACCCTCAATTCGGTTTTGGGGTCTTGGGAACGTGGGAGGGACTTTCGTGTGCCTGGTGGAGATGGAGATCTTTGGGAGAACAAATCATGGCTTCGCCCAAAGGGTCCCCCCCAAACCTGGTGTCTTTCATTGTTAGTTGGTTGATTACTAGAGGGGATACCCTAGTTGGTGTACAACCAATAGGTAAATGGTACCATCATTCTTCCCATCGATTCTTCCCGGTCCTACGGACACCACTGCGTCGAGTGCCCGAACAAGGCAATCACCAGTCGACTGGAACAACTGGAACGGAATGCTCTGGGACCGTCCTTTTGGAACCCTTTCCGGGCGACGATGACACCAACGACACCAACACGGTTGGATGGATGACCTCATCACCCAAGGGAAGATCGACCGGGTGGGACTGTGGTGCTGGTCACAGACATGACCGTGGTGCTGGGCAACTTGGGTTTCTGACATGGACATGAAAAAAGGCAATGGACTCACCAACCTCCTTGAACACCTCCTTTCACTTTGGGCAAACATGGAATGCCCTGGTGATCTCCTGCCCGCCCAACAAAAACACACATCATAACAGCTTTTTGCCAACACACACACACACATGAACACACATGAACACCATGTAAAAAAAATAAAACGCACCCATTTCGGCACAAACCCCTTGGATCTGACCTCCAATACGCCTGATCCTCATCCCCACCCCTCCATCCGCCGGTGTCACTATCGATCGAACACCGGTGTCACCAAGTCGCCATGGCCAAGCGCCCATTGTTCAGCTCGGTGGTGAGCTTCAGACGCCGCTCCGCGGGGTCCGCGATCTTGCGTCCCCAGTAGCCGGTGCCTCGGGGTGAACGCCACGCGGCACCGCGAAGGAGAAGACAACGAGGAAGAGTTGGGCGGCCGGAGGGGAAGGCCAAGGAAGCCAAAGGCAACTTGGGGTTAGGTGACCAGGTAGCCTATTGATGGGGTATTTCAGGGGTACTTCAGCCCAAGCGGAGGATTCCTACAAAAAGGCGAAGGTGCATCAGCAGGAATAGCAAGACGTCGACTAGTTTCAATGCGTTAAGGAGTCCAGGAAGTGGCAACCATCGAACCATCCAAGAATGCATAGCAGGTCATGTCAGTCAGGGGAAGTCGTAGTCTTAGTGATCTACCTTGAGTCTCCAATGACCCTTTTAAATTTGCCTTTCCAAGAAAAAGAGTTTTTTGAAAGAAAGCACTCTTTTTTGCATATGTCACGAAATGTTCCTTTTTTGTTTGTGCCCTGTCAGATCCTCCTTAGACAGTGTCCTGAGACCTTTTTTCGGCGTCCAAAACGCGTCTTTTTGCGTCCAAAAGGCGTTTTTAAGCGTCCGTGCCGGACGCGTCCGGATGAAGATTCACTCTGCACCTTTTTTTGAGTCCTCATCTCTAAAAACGCGTTTTTCGAGCAAAAACGCAAAAATATTAGACCAAAAACAAAAACGCAGAAATAAAAGGTCTTTGGAGACTCAAGGTATATAGAAATCAAAGAAATGGACGTTTTTGACTCTCTGTCACGAAGAACCATAGTTAAACAAAATGCAAAACAACAAACACAACCAGAAGCTGCCTCACTATCAACTCCCCATATCCACACCCCCTCAAACAAGCAATTCCCTTCGACTGCAAACTGATTGCGGGCCTGCATTTACCACCTCTTTGCCTTCGACACCAACACTGCTCACATCAACGGGTCGCGCATGGCGACGCCCTCAACAGCTAGTCCGTCCAAGGGATGCGAGCGCTCCACGCGGTTGCAGTCGCCTATCACCGAAACGAAGTGTATCAGGTCCATGTTCCGCTTCGATGTACGTCTCCAGGGGTGACCACGGTGACCACGTCCAAGACGTCGTCCTTTCCCTCTTCCAAAGCAACGGCGCCCAAGCCAAAAGCGCCTCTCTCTCTCTCTCTCTCACCGTACTGCCACCGTACTGCCGTTCCCGCGTACCGCCCTTCGTTCCCCGGACAGCCGTCGTACCGCCGCTCGTCGTACTCCGCCGTCGTAGCTCGGCCCGGCCAAGGGACCGAAGTTGCCGGGCTCGCCGTACTTGGCGTAGGCGAAGCCTCCGAAGGACTGGTCCTGGCGCCGTGCGGCGCGCGGTATGGGTGTGTGGCACGGCGGAGTGAAGAATGAAGAGACAGTAGATGGGGCAGGGTAACAAACTACCACACTTCATGTCCGGTGTCCATCACCATATTCCAAATAAAACACTCCTAACCACCGACCCATGTGGCTCATGTATGCTCATGTGCCATTTCATGTGGCATTTCTGGGGCGTAGACGCCGAGACTTTCTCCACCGAACCGGTGAGGTCGTCCTTGAAGAGCTGAGTCTCAATGAGCCCAGCGACCTGTCGGAAGCTGTTGATTTCCAATGTGGGTTGTTCTGGAAGCGGGTCAGTTTGAGGAAACCTCTTGGGCTTCCTTCTTAGGTTCTTGATTTTTTTTGGTGGGTCTGAATCTGATGAGAACCACGTCAGGGTCGTGGAAGATGGCGCGGATACGAAACTGGTGATAGGTGATACGATAGCTTCCAGACTCAATCATACCCAGTTATGTCCTATACACAGTCTACAGTCCAACACGAAGCTACGATTTTGATGATCAAGAAGACCCGCCCAGCATCTGCTTGTGAGGCGTGCTCTTAAGTGGGGATGCGTGCGGGAGACAGCGTTGTTGTCTCTGCTAAGCCTTTTTGCTTAAACCATTGGATCCTTAAAACTCGCGTGTGCTCAGAGGAAAATGTGTAAGGACTATAGGAACAAGGACGCTACGAACGGAACAAAGGGCATCGCGGCATCGCTAAGGAGCCTTCGGACGCGAACCGAAAAAACGGTAGCTACTGGCCTTACTAGGAACAAGAAGCTATTAGGAACAAGTGCATCGCTT